CAACGTCCTCCACAACTAGACTGAAGAACAAAAGGACAGCAACTTGTCTGTTCCCCTTCCCCCAATTCCCCAGCACTGTTCCCATGCCCCCAATTCCCCAATAAAAAAATCTTAAAAAAAAAAAAAATTACATCAAAATGAGAAAATTAAACTATTTTAAAAGCATACCAAAAGCACTATTACTATTTCCTTCAATTCTACCAGGATAAAAATTAGAGAATGTAAATAGTAGCTTCCCATATAAGCCTATTAACCTAAAAATACAGAAACAAAAAAAAAATGAATAAGTGATAAGAGTTTAGGAAAATTTACACTTTCTTATTTGGTAGATTTTATAATAATGATACTAAAACATACTATCAAAAAGTAAGTCCCTTAAAGACACAGGGAATTTGTAGCAAAACAGGTAATTTTTACCATAAGCTCCTGTTCAAGTTCTGCATTTTTTGCAGCAATAGTGGAATAAGCAACTATTTTTTCTTCCAACTGTTTCTCTAGAGTTAAAAGTTGAGAACATTTCTTCGTCATCTGAAAACAGATTGAAATAAATGAAAAATTACTTCTAAAAATAAGTGACAATTTAGAAGAAAAACAAATAATGGAGAGTAGGCCACAGATGACACAGCTTATTCAATCTATGTAATACAATGCATGAGTAAATTAATTCAGATCCCTCTGTTCAAATAAGATTGCACCCTAACCCATTTCTTAAAAGTACCTGCTAAAGGCCAGCCAAGTGGCTCAGTTGGTTAAGAGAGCGAGCTCTGAGCAACAGGGTCACTGGTTTGATTCCCACATGGGCCAGTGAGCTGTGCCCGAGCTAAGCTGCCACTGAGCTGGTGAGAGTGTGTGCTCTTAGCAGCAAGGTTGCCAGTTCAACACCCCCGCAACTAAGATTGAACACAACACCTTGACTGAGGTGAGCAGCCACGAGCTGCTGACGGGCAGCTGGATGGCTCAGTGTGCAACAAGGTCGCCAGCTGGACTCCAGCATCGGATGGTGGACTACACACCCCCCGCCCCCCACCCCGCAACTAGATTGAAATTGGCAACTGGACTTGGAGCTGAGCTGCGCCCTCCACAACTAAGATTGAGGGACAACTTGACTTGGAGCTGATGGGTCCTAGAAAAACACACTGTTCCCCNAACAATATGTAATTATATATTGTGAAATATTTATTTCTAATTACAAGTAAATGAAATTTTGTCTTGAAGCATGGAAATGGATAGAGGTGTCTCAGTTCCTAAGACCATCAAAAATATGTGTTTTCCGATGGTCTTAGGCGACGCCTGTGAAAGGGTCGTTCGACCCCCAAAGGGGTCGCGACCCACAGGTTGAGAACCACTGCTCTAGGATATTATTATCTTTATTTTACAGATGAAGAAATTAAAGTTCTGAGAGCTTAAATAACCTAGCCAAGGTTAGTCAGTTAACTCTCTGAAGCCAGAACTGAAACCTAAGTCAATTTAGCTTCAAAGCCCATGCTTTTAACCATGAAGATGTACAGTCACAAAACTGTATTTTATCTGGAAATTCTGAATTTATCCCCTAATTAAGCTTATAGCAGAACTGGTAAAAAGAAGCAAAACTGGACTGCTTATAGTTTCACCTCCCTTCACTTTCTCTGTTAATTCTTCACTAGTAATGTTAATAAGTAGCTAATGTTAAAAAAAAAAATTATGCTAGAAAACAAACCTTTTTTTAGGTAAAAAATACAAAAACAAAAGTTAGATAATCTACAAACTAGATTATCAAATACCAAATAATTAAGATCATAGCTCACATTGAAGAAAATATACTTACAGAGCTAAGTTCATTGACCCAGGGAAAATCTTTACCTCTTAATTAATTTTTATGTGAATAATTTTTACAACTTATAGAAAAAGTAAAACAAGTTACAGAAATATCTCCATTAAGAAAAAATAAATTTTTTTTAATTAAAACTTATTGGAGTGGCAATGGTCAACAAAACTACATAGGTTTCAAGTGTACAATTCTACAATAATACATCATCTATATACGGCATTATGTGTTCACCACCCAGAGAAAAAGATTTTTTTTAAGTATTAGCATACTAGCCTTGATTGTTTCTTCCGATACTTGGTTCTGTAAGGCTTTCAAAGCTTCATCTTTCTTCATATTTTCCTTTTCCATTTCCTGAAAACATACAGATTGGTAAGCAAAAATATGCATATAAATATTTTAGCATTACTAACAGGCTATTAAACAAGTGATTTGATTAAAGTTAAAGGTATGTTACAGAAACATAAACTTAAAATATTAGTCAACTTTTAAACAGCGCTTTTATAAAGATGATTTTACCCCTTTGCTTTCTGTCAATAGTCTGTCTAGTGATTCAAGATGATGTTGTTTGCATATAATGTCTTGCTGCAACACAGACATAGTGTTTTCTTGCTCTTTAAATTGTTGGTCTTTTTTCTCTAGCTGAGATTCAAGCTAAAAAAAAAATGTGTTAACTTTTATATCAAATTTTTTAAAATTTTAAAGCATTTTCAATATACAGAAATAAGACATGTTAAATTACCACTGAAATTACACAGATTTTTGCATTTTGTCAAATTTCCTTCAATTTCCCTTTTAGAAAAGAAATAAAATCACATGCCCATGTCTTATCCTTTTCCTCCCTCACCAATAGTATGCTGATATTGGCCTATGTCATTCTCTGGTGTGTTTCATTCTTATACATGCTTTTTGCGCTTTTACTATACATGCAGATACATGAACAATACGTAATACAGTTTTTTGTTTTGAAAATTTAAATAGATGATATATATCAACATTTCTGCAAGCTTTAGCAACTCATTTTTTTCACTCAATATGAATTAGATATTTATCCATAGATATTTTCCATGTATCTATATGTGAATCTAGTTCATTTATTTTTAAGACAGTACAATACTCACACATTGTATCAATAAACTACAGTTTGTCTACTCTTCTACTCAGGAACAGTTAAGATAGCCTGCTTTTTCACTATTACAACAATATCATAATATTTTTGTATATGTTTCTTTACGCACATATATTAAAGTTTCTTTAGAACAGACCAATTAGAAGTGGACTTACGTTACTGGTTGTAGGATATTTACAGAGGGTGTCAAAAAAATGTATACACATTTTAAGGAAAACTGTATTAAAATTGAAATAATATATACCGGTAACAACAGATGAATACAAGTCACGTTTGACTTCTGCAATTACAAGAGATGCTCAAAGTGGTTACCATCAGCGTCCAGACACTTCTGATTACAGCGAACTACTGCTTGAGCAATGTTGACCAGAGTGTCCACTTGTACAGTTTTCTGGCACCCCTGGTATTTCATATGACATGATTTAAGCACACCATTTTATTAGCAGTTTTCTCTGTCACCTTTGATTATCGTTCCTGTCTCTTCTTTCTAGCCTTCTTTTAAATATATGAATATTTTCAGAATTCAATTTTATCTACTGGCTTTTTACCATATCTGTATATTTTTTAGTGGTTTCTCCAGGGATTATAATATACATATTTAACTTTTCATGGTTTACTCAGAATTCAGAGTTTGCCACTTGAAGTAAAATGTAGAAACTTTAAAACAATATAGATCCCTTTACCCTTCCTCTTTTATATTGTAGTTGTCCAATGTATTACACCAACATATACTGAAAACCTTACTAGGCAATATTATAATTTTTTCTTTCAACTGTCACAAAAATTAAAAAAATTTTAAAGGAAAAAAAAAAGTTGATTGTACCTAACCAAATATTTACTGTTTTTGTAGCTACTCCTTCATTCCTAAGGTTCCAAATTTCCCTCTGGTATTATTTCTCTTTTGTCTGAAGAAATTTATTTAGTATTTATTTTAGAACAAATTCTCTAAATTGTCCTTATTCTAAGAATGTTTTTATATTTCCTAAAGAATATTTTTGCTGGACATAGAATTCTAGGATGATGGATTTTCTCTTTCAGCACTAAAGAAAAATGTTCTGTCTTCTGACTTTCATGGTTTTTGATGAGAAATCTGCAGTAATTTTAATCTTTGTTCCTCTATATGCTATGTATTACTCATCTTCAGCTCCTTTTTTTTTTTTTTTAGCTGAGCCATCCTGCTACCTGTTGGCAGCTCAGCGGCAGCTCAGCTTGGGCTGGGCATCGAACCGCTGTTGCTCAGAGCTCAAACTCTTGAGTGAGCTCTTAATCAACTGAGCCACTCGGCCGGCCCTTCAGCTCCTTTTAATATTTTTTTAGTTTGGTTTTCAGCAAGAATTCCAACATATCTGGAAGAGGTTTTTTTTATTTAATTTCTTTGAGCTTGTTGAATTTGTAAATGTATTTCCTTCAATAAAATTGTGATTTTTCAGTCATTATTTCTTCAAATATTTTTTTTCACCTATCTCATTCACTTCTCGGGGACTTTAATGACATGAATGTTGGACCTTATCATATTGTCCCACAGGTCCCTGAGGTGCTGTTTATTTTCTACCAAATCTCTTTTCCTTTCTGTTGCTCAAACTGAATAATGTCTATTGCTTTATATTTTAAGCTATATTTTTTTTCCTTGTTAAGCTCCATTCTGCTATTAAGCATATCCAAATGGTTTATTTTTTATTTGGTCTTGTGTTCTTGGTCTCACACCTTCTTCTTTACTTTTGTTTTTACTTTTTATTTTTAACCCAGTTAACAGTGCTACTACTCTCTACCAATCTTCAAGCAACTGATATCTTCAGTGGAAAAGAGTCTACAGAATCACTTAATTTGATAATGTCAAAAAATTACAGGGCAGCCGGATAGCTCAGGTGGTGAGAGCACAGTGCTCATAACACCAAGATTGCTGGTTCGATTCCCACGTGGGCTACAGAGCTGTGCCCTCCACAACTAGACTGAAGACAACTACTTGGCTTGGAGCTGATGGGTCCTAGAAAAACACACTGTTCCCCAATAAAATTTCTTTAAAAAAAATATTAGGGCCGGCCAAGTGGCTCAGTTGGTTAAGCGCTCACTCAAGAGTATGAGCTCTGAGCAACAGCGGTTCGAGTCCCGGCCTGAGCTGTGCTGCTGCTGAGCTGCCAACAGGTGGCAGGATGGCTCAGCTAAAAAAAAAAAGAAAAAAAGAAATTACAAAACTGAAATGGCAGGAGTACTATATAAGAAAACAGTATAAAATGATCCAGAAATAATGGGATTCTAATTAAAGTACTTGCCAGTAATTTTT